CCAGTGAGCTATGCTGTTCCCACTAAGACTCGAACAACATTAAAACCGAATCCGTCACAAAAGGAGTGGATGTCATGATTCGGTGGTCTAGTGGATAACGCTCTGACGTTTGAAGCGATCGGTCCTTAGTTCGCGTCCTATGAGGAACAACATCGATCACTGGAAGGCACGTACATCCAGCTAACGAGTTTCCAATAGGACGAAACCCGCGTCTTGAATCCCACTGGTAGCCACTATCCATCATTAGTATATGAATGGAACATGCAACATCGAAGCATCCATGGAGGAGCCCATATGCCAATAAAGACCGATCAATTCGGTCCACTCAACGACCGGATAATATAAGCAATAACATTATTTTAGTTTGTTTGAATCATGTCAATGTCGATATGTGCACATAATAGATATTGGATTCAATTTATAATTTCAACAACTAGTTTATTTGTCTTCAAACTTCTAATCAACAAATGTGATTTTGCTGTTCAGAAATGAAAAAAGAAGGTAACATCGAACTTAGCGGTTCCACTAGTATTCAGACCGACGGTTGGTCGGGGGAAAACATTTGCATATATATATAAAGTGTCAAACTATTTGCAGGGATGCAAAAAGTGCTATCAGAAAGCAGCATAAAACAGTCATTCAGGTAACGTGCACTATCCACACCAATATATGGGGGGAACATCTCACCCTTCAGTAAACGGAATATATTCATTTAGAAATAAGGCAAAGCACTGTAAGTTTGACTAAACCATTTTTCGTTTTGATCAAGTTATGAAAAGCCGTTTTCATCTTGATTCTGACTTTCATGGACAAGCCATCAGTTATCCTCTGTTCTTTCCCCAGTTTTCTCAACCATACTTCATTAGAAGAAAATATTCTTCTGGCTATGTAAGATTTTCACTTCTAATTGTTCATATCGTTTTGAGAAAATTAATGAAATTTAGTATAGTTCTTTTCCTACTAGCAATTGTGATAAATCTACTAAAACAACATACAACATGTTGTATGAGAATGCACATCGTCGCGACTGCACGCAACAGAGACGAAGAGATCATTAAAAAAAACAAAAAACAATTTGTAGTCCAATCGGGAGAACTTCAGGTCCAAATGATACCATAATTCTCGTTTTCCGACTGCAGTTACTGACCTCTTATATATAAAGCAGCTTGCAAATCAGGGTTATTTTGGTTGAGTAAACTACCAATCGGTCGTAATCCCTTTCTTAGTAATGCCAACATGGATTGACAAGAAAAATGTTGGTTGAGAAGTTAAGATGATAAAGAAAGCACATTTAGCATCAGTTGCTGACATAATAATAATAATCAGGCAAAAATGTCAATGTTATTATTGACTGATACTTGTAATTTCCCGCTGTTATTCTAGATTCAATCGATCAAAGTCTGTTGGCATATGCGGTACTATGCGGATGCCTCAACATTGCTTGATGATTCCTTATGCTGTACTTTGTTTGGTCGTGCCTCGCAGTGGATAACGCTTTGACGTTGGAAGTGATCGATCCCGGATTCAAGTCTCAGTGGGGACAATTCCACTGACTGGGGAGCAGGTACATCCAGCTGATGAGTCTTAAATAGGACGAAACACATATCCTGGACTCTCCTGCTGCTAGCCGCCACCTTTGAGTAAACTAAGACCCTTAACAGTTATAGTAAAAAACTGGTATTATAGAACAGTTAATTCACTATTGTTCTCGAAATTTCGCTGTTTGGCATCCGATATATGCCTTTAAACTATTATTAATGAAAAGCCTCAGACAAAATAGTATGCTATTAAATTACTAACAGATACACTGAATTCAACCAAGTGCTTTATAGCATGATTCAATAAATGAACATAGTGTCATTTAATTTCTGCAAACCGAGAGCATATCCATATTTTCACTTAGGGTTACTGAACAACTTATCAACCAGTATATTGTTTATCTAGCGCAGACAGTGTGTAATTAAAAAAGGCTTCCATGCAATAGAATCGAAGACAGTTTGATAATATTTTATGGATAGAAACAAAGTCATAAAAGCCTAAATAGGAAGAATGCCACAGTTCACAAGAGACAAATAAAACTGTTTTCACTTCACTGGTTTACCAATGCCACACAATCTGTTTCTACTTTAATTTATATAAAGATGAAGACTTTAAAAGGCAATAACTATAAGTTTATTTCGTTGGTGATTTTCAATAAAGTACAGTCAGATGTTGGAATGTTCGCAAAAGGCAGTGGTAAGTCGATATTTAATAAATGAGCTTTTCTATAACCTAACAAGATTATAAAACAACCAGTTGTACCAGAAGTCTAACTCAATAAGTAACGTTCGTTCACCACACACTACATTGCTTAAAGAAAGATATAAGCTGGAAATACGAAAATATGGCTTGAACGTGCGTGAAGGGACCCTGTTAAGTGACATGATTGCAGTACGCTTGTTTTAAACACCATTGAAATATTCATCATTTAAGCAGGAAGAAGTTTCGCAAATTTAAGTGTAACTGAAGCTGGAATATGATTAAAATAAATATCCTGCTGGATGAATATTGAGACACCACAGGAATAGACATGTTTATAAACGGAAGAGACTTCTGTTAGTTTGATCGAATTGTCAACTAAAGTCTCTTTCAATATGGAGATTTGTGAGGTCAACCAAGCCAAATGGAAGTTGCACTATGTCGTGAACTGACAGAAGTAGGGAATGTGGACAACTGGATTCCCATCCAGTGGGTTGGTGGTAAAGTCCTAGTCATGGAGCCTGGAGGTCATGAATGTGCACTGCTGGGGAGTTTCATACTAGGAGAAAAACATATCCGGTGCTCCCAGGTTTCTACAGTTTCTCCAACTGAGGTCAGTTCATGATTAATACCAACCTGAAGTCAATAAAGCCTCTTTCATGCTATGCACTTATTTATCATTTTGACTATCTAAGATAGCTGTGGTTCTGAAAACTTTTATTGCTACCGGGTGATGACTGAAGGTTGGTAGAGCACCGGATGGGAAACTCGGTGGTAGCTGGTTTGAATTCTGCAGCAGTCCAGATTTTCACTTAGTTTCCATTATGACCCAGTGTCAATACAAGTATTTGACGAAAATCTCGTTATCTACTTAGAACATTAATACCTCTCTGAAATATCTGTAATCCATTACTCAATGTTATAGGCTGGCAGTTCAGTACGTTCTGACTTCAAAAAAAATCTGGAGTACCAAGAACTACGACAGACTCAACAACAAGTCATTAAAAAAATTGTAAAACTGTATCTATCCAAGTGACTCTGATAATCTGACTAATCTGCAAGTATCTCTGAATTCCACAGGATCATTTTTCCTTAAGAACTAAACAGTAGTTACCTCAGTGTGGAAATGTGGACTACATTTATTAAAAAAAAATCATTTGTTCTTTTTGAATCATTGAATCATCGTGACATTACCTTCATATTTTATTAAAAGAAATCGGTAGGCCATAATCACCTTTTCCGTCGTAGTTTCAGGTTTCACTGCAACGCAAGAATCGGTCTTATTGAATTATGCAACTATAAACCCGAAAGTAGTTGGGTGATCACTTTTTCGATTAACTAATTTATTGGAGTGCAGTGGCTGATATTTCATAACACATATCTTGAAAGCAGTGACCCCGTGCTGTTGATCATCCATTTTGGTTACAAATTCATGATCTTCACACAGAAGCAAAATAGGAGTGAGGAGAATAGTTACACTACACTAAGAATTGAATGAAGTTGAAAATTAGTCAGTAGTGACTTCCTGGTTATCCTCTTAACTTGTATTGTGCATTCCACAATTAATGAGAAAGTTGTTAGCGATTTGTGACTCACTAATTCTTGAACATACAGGACAGGTTTAGATATTATTGCCATTGATCTTGAAGGTTTGAGTAGGCTAAAACCTATATGCTAACTAAGCATTTAAAATAAATTTTCATTTTTTACTTTGCACACAACACACATACCAATTAGTCTTTTTACATTGTTCAATTCCTTTAGGTGGATGTAACTGGAAGTGAGTTCATTAAAACCTATGTAGGTTCATTCCTTCTACTTTTTATCTTCTCCGATACGTAAATGTAAAGTACTAATTAACGACACGAAACAAGTAGTTGTCGACTTTTGCGTTGCCGTACTGTATGTCCTACAGAGTTGTATCATACCATACTACAGGGATGACTATCTGGATAAAGTTTATGACTGTCTCATAGATTGGTAAATATATTTTATCTCCAAATTTGAACTTTTTGGTGTGTATTAATGCATCTACCACTTGATACAGATAAAATATTTTTCAATGTGAAAATTTTAATCAGTTAACACTGTGCTAGGCGCGTAACACATGTCTCGGACACCTAAGTCGATGAAGATCCAAAACCTTACCAACACACTTTCCTCTATTGCTCAAAACTTCACACCTGACCTCTATTACTGTCGCGATGACACCATAAGACATGGCTTATGCTACTAAGACAACGGTGGTCGAATACCTGAAACCCTCTCATGTCCTCTACCTTTGATATCAGTATAGAGTCCGTACAGCGATTTCGGCGGTCAGTGACAAACGCAAGGACTGATTTGACTTTTCAAGTAAGTGACCAATGCGCTCAATCATCTCATTCGATATAGTAAGACGGAGCTATAGATACATAGAAATAATTACTCTGTGGCCTATCAAATAAGCTCAAAAGAAGAAACGAACAGAAGAACAGCCATTTCTTCAAACAGAGCTTTTTCATCTATAACGGCTAATAGTTATAGATTCAGTTGAATAGAAGTTTATAGATATAGCCACTTGTATTGCTATGAAAGGCAAGGTTTTGAAAGATTAGATCCTACATTTGAAATAACAAGCGCCCATGAAAGTAGTCGGATTAGGCTATTTTACAAATCGCACTTATAGACTACATTGCAGACATCAGGAAAATGGAAATATTACTACCGTTCTATTATTTACAACAACAGATTATGGTAAAAATGACAAGTACTCATATAACTTACTTATTTCGTTTTTGTACATTAATCATAGGTTCAATGACCCTGAAAAAAAAGATAAAGAAAAGTGATATTCGCTCTTAGTAAATATGACAATCACCTGAACTAAATGATTTGATGATGAAGTTTCGTTTTATGCATTAAGACAGAAGTTGAAGCATGAAAATTTGCAAAAAATAATGATCTGAGGACTGGAAGTACTTGATTTCATCTACTTATCATGTTAATTTCATATATATGATGTCCACTTGGTCCACGGTGTCTTCAATGTGCCTCCCAGTTCTACACTCCTGTTTAGCAAGAAGAATATGCAATTTCTGGCTGTTTTTTAGGCAACAGAGTTTTCTTCAATAACCACACAAAAAGCTAAACACCTCACTTCTTCCAGAGAATAGAATTTTTAAAAAGTTAGTGCTTTTACCTAGTCTATATCCTTAATCTCAGAGACATTTTATCCAATGCTGTTAGACACAAACATATACTGGTAGACTGTAGACATTCACACTGTTGATTAGTCACTCAAATGTAAGTGAAACTAGTTGGAAAAACACTCAAGTAACTCGAACATACTTTATCGGGTATCACTCACACGAAAGAGTTTTAATGAACCATTCACTCGTTCACTACTACATTGTTGAAGTGTAATGTGCCAAGAGCATCTTCTTCATTACCGTGCCTTTCCAGTTACTTCATATGCTTACTTAACAAACCATGGAACAATACAATTCAAAAGTAACACAGTTTAAATAATGTATTTTGAGGTTAATGGAGATTTTAATTTTGAGGTGGTATTTATCACGGACTGACATCAGATGTAGGGCCATTGAAAAACAGGGAGTATTGGACAGTGTTCCGTCCTAGTATGCGAATGTGAACCATTGAACTCCGACCCAGTGGCTGGATGGTTAACGCGTTCTCCGTGGAACCTGAAGGTCATGAGTTTGATCCCTAACCGGGTCGTGAGTGCGTTCTACTGAAGAGTCCCACACTAGGAAAAAACAGCTGTCCAGAACTTCCAGGTTTTCATTTGTACTCCAACTGATATCAGTTCGTGATGAATACTACCTCAAAAGGTTTAAATAGTTATAGGTACATAGAGTCAAGTCGACTTAATTTTAGTTACGTAAACATATAAAGGAACGTGACTGTTAGCAGCAGTACTTGTAGAAGTACGACTGGTTAATAAGCCCCAGACAGCACAAATAAATCTATTACAAAGTAAGCGTTGATTGCATTTACAAGTGAATCATTGTTTTGAAAGTAGTTAAGTCCCATAACGTTCATAGTCTTCAGAAATAAACACGGTTAACAAGAGCCTTTCTCCAGAATACCTTGACCTAATTGGAATGCGTAAAGTATTTTAGAGACAGTTGAATTTCAGACGTTGAACACTGTTTACCAAAAGAGAAAGATAGTCTGCAGGGAAAACCGTAGGAAACCATAAAATGCCAATGTACCGGTAATCTCTTAGAATGATTTCGTCACACTAGACTTCGCTAGTTATTAAATTTTTCAGCCAATGTACTTGGAATTTCGTTGGGATACTACGCCTGATCAGTCATTTTCAATGGTGTTAAATTTCAATGTCACCATCATATTCAAATGGCAGACTCCCACATGTAGAACAATTCAAACGTTTGCAGCCTGTTATGAAATAATACGCAATAAAAAAACAAATAACAAGAATAGTCTCCAAGTTTAGTGAAAGCTTAAGGTCGCCTAGGTAAATAGTTCACTAATTACCAGCCACTCCTAAGCCCACATAACAAAGGAAGATTGGATATACGGCTACCAATCCTACCCCCTATTACCAATCCAACCGCTAAATTAACTTCAAAGCACAAAGAAAATTTAAAAATAATAATTAACTTGTTCATCACCGGAATCACAGAGACGAAATGACGCCGGTTGGTCAAAGCCTTCGGGAAGTCAATCAGTCGATATGTTTTCTCTTCTCTCGATGAAAGCGAAAGTAAGAATGGGGACATGGAATGTCAACACAATGTTTGAAGCTGGTTGGCTGACTGCCTGACTGACTGACTGAATGAATGAATGACTGACTGGAAAGGCTACCCAGATTGCCAAAGAGATGAGAAGATATAGTAGTGAAGTGCTAGGAATCTGTGAAAGTAGATGGAATGGAAGTGGACTCTCTTAACTGTCAATTGGAGAGTCAATAATCTACTCCAATATTGTCGTCCAGACGACAACCACGAGCACAGCACACTGAGTTTTCGAGTGGCTATCATGATGTCCCCCTCACAACAGCATCGAAGACTCGCTCTCATGCAGTCGGAACCAATCTCCTCATGCAGGACCACGGTCACAATCATGACAGCTAGCTTCAACTGAAAAGGAAGCAAAGTCACAATCATACAATGCTACGCTATGCTATGCTATGCTATGCAATGCTATGCAGTGCTATGCCATGCTATGCTATGCACCTACAAATAATCAAGCAGATGAAGAGAAGAAGGAGGAATTCTGTGGACAACTGCAATCAGTACTGGACAAGACTCCACCTCAGATGGCGACATGGAAATTCGAATAGGTGGGGTGACATGAATGCCAAAGTGGGAGTGGACAACACAGGAAGAGAACTGATGATGGCATGGGTTGAGAAGCACTCGATGAAGTGATGAGTGAGAATGGAGAACTGTTTGCAGACTTCTGAGCATTCAACGATTTGGTGATTGGAGGCGAGCCAGTGTGTACAAACACAAGGTTATTCACGAAGCGAGCAACATGGAGTTGATTTCACCAGACACAAGGACACACTACACTGAAAATCAGATCTACCTCACCTCAATGTGAAGAGAGTGGAGATGCAGCCAGCCTACTGGACACAGACAAGATCAGATGAAGAGGGGGAACAGATGTAGGTTCACACCAGACACCATCTGGTGCAAGGAACCCACCTTCAAAATGAAGTTGGAAGCCTTCACAGAAGTTGGTGATAGACGGTCACAGTTCAAGTTCAACGAACACTCAGAACAGAAAGTGAACTGAAGGACGAGACTTCAAAGGATATCTTCACGTCAGCCAGTCAGTCAGCCAGTCAGTCAGTGATCATGACAAGATGGGAGATATTAAGCAAGATCCCTGATGAAATCTGTGAGGATGAATACTGGAGGTGTTTGAAAGCTATGTGGAAATAAACCTGCATAAGCAACCGTATTCGGAAGGAAGAAGAAGAAAGGAGAGAAGGAATGGAATGGAATGGAAGTTGACAGACAGATGGAAGCTGATAGAGGAGGGGAGGATGATGGTGATGCTGATGCAGAAGATGAACCAGTGTTGTGTTGTGTTGTGTTGTGTTGTGTTGTGTTGTGTTGTGTTGTGTTGTGTTGTGTTGTGTTGTGTTGTGTTGTGTAGTGTAGTGTAGTGTAGTGTAGTGTAGTGTAGTGTAGGGATGAACAATGAAAAGAGGAACTGAGTACAACTTATAAAACGCTGGACAAAGAAGTGAAGACAAGTGAACGGAAAGACAAAAGACACTTATACGACACATTGGCAAGTGAAGCAGAACAGGCTGCAGGTAGGAGAGAGAGAGAGAGACCTGACAACACTATATCAAATAACCAGGTTACTCTCTGGGGTGAGGGAGAGATCAAGTCAGATGAAACCAATGAAAGATAGTGAATGGAAGCTAGTTACGAAAGGAGAGCAACAAAGGAAACGAAGGACTGACCACTTCAAGCCCTTATCAACCTCATTGAACCGCAGGGCGGTGTCCCCTTTTACCAACCTGCCAAGGCAGCATCGTTTCAGCTAAGGGTTATGGTGGCACAGATGAGGATATCGAATCCGGGATCGGAAAAGAAAGACATGCCCTTATTAAGCTGAAATTAGTTTGTAGATCTAATCCACTCCACTCAGCTTAAAGAAAAAGAACTTGATTTTCAAACTAATTCAGTCAAGTCAGTACTTCTCTGTGATGGTTGAGAGACTTGGTGAGTGACGAAGAGCATTTTTAACAAACTACATACAAACATCAATAGCTGCCACCTACGCTCACCTAATACTGAAGATCAGATGGATGGCCAGACGGAATGGGAAACAAGGCACTCTGGTTGGCAACGTACCAACCAAGAACCTATCACACAACAAATATACATATATGAGTGTAAATGGACTGGATTGGGCATACATTGAGAAGACCGACTGGGGATAACACGCTCCAGGCCAGGCCCTCGAGTGGAATCTTAAGGGGAAACGACAAGTTGGGTGCCCGAGGGTGACATGGAGGGGATGATGTGAGTAAGAAATGAAAGCTTGTTGGCAGTGATGGAGCCAGGTTAAAAAGACTGCAGAGAAGAGAGTGAAATGGAGACGTGCTACTGAATCCCTGTGTTCAACTAGGAACCCAAGGGACAAATGATTTATAATAATAATATAGTCAACAGTATTTCCCCGCAGTTCTTATGCTTGGAAGGGGAGGGTACAATTGAGTGATAGATGTAGAAACTTATTTCATACGTTTCAGTGAAGGAAGCAAACTATTCTTTTGTGTACCACACTCTCATCACCTGACATTTGTTGAGCATCTCTAACCTCTGTGTACCTAGGCAGGAGCTTAAACAAGATAGAAGTTGACTACAGGCTCGGAGTAGTCAGACTAAGATCCGACCTGAATGCAAGAGCCTGTTGATCATCAGCGTTTGTTGTAGATGAGAAGGGATGAACTTTGCAGCTGGAAACTAGATACAGTAAAAATCAATGGTCACACAACTTCATAATACAGTTGAATATGTTCATCTTTTATATTTGAAAACTTGTGCATGATTATCCTCCGTCTTCTAGTGTCTACTTTATATCACTTCTCACTATTCTTATTATTATCGTTTGAACCCCGTGTTCAGTTTTTGTTATTGTAATGTTATCAAAAGTAAAGACTTTGCAAGACGGAATACAACCAGAATGCATTAAAGTTATCTATAAAAAAACTCCCCACAACTTACATGATTGATGAGTCAATGGTCTTTCCAATGTTAAAGTATGCCAGTCTGTCTAAGATACGTTCCATTTTATTTGAATCAGATACAGAAAATTGGACCTGAATATCAATGAAGGTAGAATAGGTTAATTTCATTTTCACACCCAAGTCGTACTTTAATTAGTACAGGTATACAATCATGAAATGCTATGAAAATGAGAAAAAAATAGGAGTTTGATAACTAGGCAATCTATAGTCATGTTTGAACAAATGTCTTCCAATCACTAGTTCAAGTACTTATGAGCTGAGCTGAAAGACGGAATTGCCAACCATCTGTTGACCTTTTTTCAGTCATTCACAGCCTTCTAAAAACTCATTACATTGATGAAGAAACTACTTCATGGAGTAAATACTGATGAAACCACCTCACCTGGTGATGAAAATTTAAAAGAAAAACCTTGAAGCTTGGAGAAAATCAGACAGTTATCGTCATCATCATCATCATATTCATGAGCTACAAATCTGGAAAATCTCAAAATACAAATACAAGTTATTCTAAACACTACCACGGCTTTTAACTAAGTAAGAATGAACCTCAAATTTTCATCTAATCTAAGTCATTACTTTTGTATAAATGTTACACATTGTTGATCAAGAGTAAGCTAAATATAACAGTAAACGATAAAAAGTTGAAACAGGATTCATCACCTCATGAAAAGACTATGTCAATAGACAGTTAATTATGAATTCATATTTTTCAGATGAGATGAATAACATTGAAAAGTGCCTATAGGTACAGCTGTATATTTTTAGCATGTCTGCGTTTTCAGGCTTTACTTTGAAGATCGGTTGCAATAACGAGAAAAACACTTTAGGCTTGATGCATAGACGTGAGACATTTACCACTTACTACACAGTGACCGATTTGCACACATAATCCCTTTGTACAGGGAGTTAACACCTTAGTAAACCACTAAATGATGCGAGGTCTAAGTTTTGAAGGAGCAACATGCTCGAGGAACTGTAGATATGCCTTGATAACGAGTACCAACAAGTTAGGCACCTAAGCCAAGGGCTACTTGATGACTGTCTCTGACGGTTCAACTTCAAAAGAGAAGTTATCGATAAACTTGATGAATGTTAAAGTTTTCTCATGAATCAACTAAATGATTCTTAAAAATGTGGATAAAGCAATAGCTATTCAAATGTAGTTGACATTAGATCGTGTGGTGTATAAACATGTATGAATGAACAAATACCAGTCATCACCCAGTGCATGGACAAAAACTCAAATCACCCTGTACTAAGAAATAAGATTTAGTAGCCCTGTGTTGTTAGGACAGGAGAAACTAAAGTCAGTTTTAAGGTTTGTGGGTATTTATTTATTGATTCCGGGTTGATATTCATCATGAACTGATATCAGTAGGAGGAACTTTGGGAGCCCGAGAGCACTAAACGGCTGTCTTCTCTTAGTATGGGACTACTCAGCAGTGCACACCCTTGACCCCGCCACTCAGGAATTGAACCCATGACCTTCAGGTTCCATGGCCAGCACGTTAGCATTGAGCCACTGGGTCGGAATCTGATGACCAACATTCCCGATTGCTGTCAATTCACGGTATATCGCGATCTCTATCTAATACCGTCGCTGAGTAACTGTTGTCACATCCGAATTGGTTAGCTCCAGCGATCACTAGTGTTAGTTGGTGACTGGCTTCTAGGTGAAATTCCTGAAGTTCTAATGAGAAGTCATGACTGGTGGAGCAAACCAAGTCGGAGGTGAAGACAGTTACTCAACGACGGCATAGCATGGAGGTGGCGCTGTCTTGAACTGGGAGAAGTGGAAAGTGGGGATCATTTGATTTCCACCCAGTTTCTCAACGTTAGCATGCTGGTAGAGGGACCTGAAGGTTGTGAGTTCCATCCCTGATAGATGGGGTCATAGGCAAACACTATTGAGGTGTCCAATACTAGGACCAAACAGCTGTGTAATGTTCCCAGGTTTCAGATGGTTCTCCGAGTGGTGTCAGTTCTTGATGAATATCAACTACAAGAAAGGATGTTGGGATGCCACGAAAACCATATGAGGATAGACTGAAAGACCTAGGCCTATACTGTCTTAGCTGTCGAAGGTTATGAGGTGACGATAATGGCTTACAAAATACTGAACAAGCCAAGTCACCCGAACAGAGGAGTACTACCGAGTGGCCACGATGGTGATCCTCGTGGAAACCCACCAAAGATCAAAACGCATGTGCGTTCACACTTCTTCTCCCTCCGAGTTTGCAAGCACTGTAATGCATTACCAGCAGAAGTAGTCTCCGCCCCATCTGTTGAAAGCTTCAAGAAAAGGCTAGACAGTCACGCAGAGACCCATGGTCTACTCACATGTAGCTGGAATATGAACTAAACAGAAGAAATCTACTGCTGTCACGCCATTCCAACTATTTGACCTTTACAATCAGTTTTCTTTCTACTGTAACCATCCAAGCCCTTTTCATTCCTTCCACTTGCCATGAGTTAGCCTTACCTACTTAAGTTCTTCACATTTTTTGCAACCCTTTTCGCCTAACTTGGGTGTAAGTAGATTACTCCATTAGTTCACTTTTCCTTTCCCTTTTACTTTCACAAATTTTCTTCTCTAGGTTTCCTCTTCACTATCCCTAATTCTCTCTAATGACGAGTCCTAACAATTGTCTGGCAAGTCGACATCTAAAGAAGTCAACTGCACCACAGTCCAAGGCGAACTAACCAATACTTAACCTCCTGTTCTGTATACCAGAGCTATAGCAAACGAGTGGCTGGATCTACTGCGTCGGAGTCCGCCCAAGACCTGAAACCATTCCGCAAGCCCAAGCAAGTAAGAAGAAATCAATTGGTTTACACAAGCTCGTTAAACAGATACTTGATATTGGAAACCTGAGAGTAAACTGCTGATATTTCATAAAATGATGCAGTTGTGTTCCTCAGAACTATACAAAGAGACCAAGTGGGACCTATCTGTAAACTGCCACAAGTAATAAAAATCTACAAGTCTTAAGGGAAATCAAGTGAAATGTACTGATGGACAGATTATCAAAGTGAAAATAAATTTTGTTTTTTGTAAGAGTCAAAATAGCTCAGTTGGTAGAGCATCAGGCTGAAAACCTGGTAGTGACTGGTTCGAATTCGGAAGCTGTCCAAACTTTTCATTTCAATTTCAATCACCACCCAGTATAAATAATAGTCTGCAAACCACAACTATCTCATATAGTCAAAATGATAAACATCAGAGTAGTTAGTCTAATGTCAACCTTGACTGGTATTTCGAAACAGAATAAATGAACAACAGTCGTGAAAAAAATGTATCTGATGGCGATACACGTTTGTGATAAGAATCCTTAAGAAACGATGTATTACTAGTGGACAGTGTTCTTCAAGGACCAACATTTATTAGTACAACGTAATTAGGTTACTATCCAGAGCTAATCTTCTAAAGTTTAACAAAGGAAGAACAACAAATTTTAGAGAATACGATGAATTCGCTGCCACCTTTTATTCAACTGTGTGTGGGCAAGCTAAACAAACTACGAGGTATACATAAAGAAGAGCAATCTTCATACCTTAGTTATCGAGAAGAAGATAGTCCACTAATGAAGGTTAATGAAAGAAATAATATCGATTAAGAAAATTCGATTGACAAGTCAACGAAGTGTAGATTCGTTCTGTTTTTCCAGCATATTTTCACATAAAATACCTTGAAACACTTTATATGTTAGTCTATATGCTAACTTCATCCTGTAGTAGGAAGTTTTAACAAAGACCGGGATGACAGCCGCGTCGATTTATACGTCATAATGCTGTGTTTTTTTAAGGGCCCCAGATATGCATCCATCTAATGGGTGTTACTGGGTTAAGATAAAACTGACCGCCTAATTTAGTCATACAAGCAATCGGATTTAGGTAGACTAAATTTGTGGTATTCTGGATGGCAGTCAGCAACGTGAATTCAAATGACAACCAAGAGGTTGCTTATTGATACTAGTGATTTCCCGTTGAAGTGCTCAACTTCTGTTGACAGACGGGCTGCCATGAGGATGCTTTGATACTACTCAGATATTCATTCTACAACAATATACTCGGTGGCTTTGGCGTTCACTGGGTTCGAGTCTTGGTGGGAACAACAACACTCAGTTCAGTGGGCAGGTACATGCAGTTGACGAGTCCAAAATAGGACAAAACGCGAACCCTGAATTCCACTGCTAATCGCTAAGTAGACTACAACAACGACGATTTTCACTAAAAAAAATACCTTCTATTGAGGAGTGCTGAAAACGTGAAACCTCCTTCATGGATGTGATGCCTTTTAAGTGAAAATCCAAGCTCTGAACTATTATGAAAAAGGTCAATTAAAAATTCAAATGATTGATAACTTGTGTAGTTAATATACCCCAATGGAATTATAATGATAGCGAAAACTGCTGCCAGTCAAACAATCGGAATAAAACAAACATTAACGAGCTATTTTTTTGGAACTGTAATTTTTATCAGACATTTAAATTATTTCATTGGACATATTGGCATACATAATAAATGATAGCCATGAAGTTAATAACACAATGAGTAATCATGTTATCGGTTTCTGTTGTTCACACGATAAATATCTAACCAATTAATAGAGGTCATGTATTGTATCAAAATAATGTGTAAATGACAGATCGTTGTTCACATAATCAAAATTACCATTGTACTACAACATAAGAATAGTGTGTTGGCTACCAGTAATTTTTCCGTAGTCATGAAATGAGTTTACTCGTATGAATTCACTATATGTTTCAATTCAAGAAATACTCAAACTGACTGATAAAACTAGTGGGGAAAGACAAACAAAATCACTTCGTTTCCATGCATCTGAGTAGATACGTGCTAGGTATTTATTGAACAGCAGGCTCTGAAATTCATCGCTGGGTATGCCAACAGACGTTATGCGTACGAGCTTCACTGTTCTCTTTTTTGGTTTATCGGATACATTATACTAGTCTGTGATACTTGCTAGCTAGGCTAGCCTTATGGTTAACAACCACGTACACGAACTGGGGAACTACCAATCGGTAAACGCTGTCTTAACACGTAGCTGAAAC